TGTACTGAGTTATTTAGACATGCTATAATCAGAAAAAGAGGATTCTTAGAGACTCACTTATTTTCATAGAACTGCTGCCATTTCATAAGGCCATCCTTAACAATTTGCAATTTCTCCCTTGTAGACTCTTCTGTTTGTTCAACATCCTGTTTAAATTTATTCAGTAAGTTTCTCCATTTGTGTGTCAATTTCTGCAACAATGCAAGGTCTGCAGTGTCCTAAAATGCATAGAATCAATTTATTTATTCACATAGCAAGTATTTATTAACATACAACAGACCATATATACAGTAGATATACTGTAAAACTAGAGAAATACATAGGAAATAAATCTGAGAAAATGAGACAATATTACTCTTTCAAAACATCAATGACATGTTTGTTTGGTGATGGGTTTTCAATGACATATAAAGTATTAGCACAGTATCAAGGAGAAGATTTTTTTTCCCCATGAACCTAATTTTCCTGTAGAACTTTCACAGGGGCAGTAGAGTAAGAACTGGAAAGAATAGAAACCATCAAACCACACAGAACCAAGTATGAATCCTACACACTTACTGGCTGTATAGCCTTGGGTAGCATTTATTTTATTTGAAGTTAATTTTTATTGTTCATAAAATAAAGTCACCAATACATGTCTTAAAGGATTGTTTTAAGAGTTAAATGAAAATGATTGATATAAATGGCTTGCTGAGTAGAAACACACAAATTCCAGCTCTTTCTTTTTCTCCCTACTGTACTCACTGAATTTCTCATGAAATTTCATAGAATACATTGATAATACAACTATTTCAATAAATAAAGCTACTTACGTTTATTGTAAGTATGAATAAACAAATATAAATAACTGTAGTATTATAAAACTTAAATTATTTTAATTACAGTAGAATAAATATAAGGAAATAAGAGGATTTATTTACCTTAGATTTTTTTCAGTCTGCCCACAATAAAGCACAAATACAAAACTATATTTAAAAATCTATAAATTTAGCAAAGCAAGTCCCAATTGTTTGACACCTCAATACTTGGAGTCTTTTCTCTCATTACTTAAGTAACCTGAGCCTTACCTTGTTTGACAGCACTGTGATGAAATGCTTAGTGTATTTATTCCAGCCTTTTTCATTGAGGAAGAGCCTTTTGGCCAATATGACTCCATTTCTTTCAATTACCTATAAAAGTAATGTACTCTAATCAGGAACCAAGTACATTAACAAACCACTATAATTTATTACAGTTATTTCAAAGTCAATCTTTCATGAATAATTATATCAACCAAAATTTCTCATTTAAATCAACTAATATGAATCACAAATTCACATTTTCTGAAACCACAGAACTGGAACCAAACTAAAATAGAGTATATATTCTAAACAATTTTATCTCAAGACACTTTAATGCTGTTAAAAATTACTGAGGACTCTAAAGTGCTTTTATTTATATAGATTATATCTATTGACATTTGCTGCACTAAAAACTAAGCTAAAATTATTTACAATATGAATCTACTAATTCATTTAAACATATTAATAAATTCATGTTAACATAAATAGTATTTTATAGAAATATAACATTTTTCAAAAAATAATGACAAGAGTACCATTTTTTTCAACATTTTTATAAATATCCTTTATGTCTCTTAAAAGAATAGAGCTGGATTCTATTTGCTTCTACATTCAAACTGTTGCAGTATCTCATTCATATAACTTCTAGAAATATCTGCTGTATACTCATGAGTGAATGAGAGTGAAAATGAAGTAATAAATCTCTTTTCCTCTCCAATAGGAATAGCTTTCACTTGTACATGGTACATCACTCAAGCTCCCTCCTTTCCCTATGTTTCTATTTTTCTAAAAAGCTTTGTTTCTATTTTTTCCTCCTATTTTCACTTTTCTTGTCTTTTCCTTCCTTCTTTTCTCCCTCCCTCCTCCCTTGTTCCCCTTCCCATTGGAACATTTTCTTTCCATTTCCCATTTCCCAAAATCTATTATACATTTTAGTACTTATTCCCACTGTCAGTTTCTCACACCAGAAAAACAATGTAGTATTTAAACATGTCTGTTCAATTTATTTCACTTGAGTATGGGCTCAAGATCCATCCATTTAGCTATAAATGTCTGAAGCTCATCCTTCTTTATGGCAAAGTGGTACTACACTGTATATGAAAAATACCACATTGCTTCGTTTCTCTGGTGTGAGAAACTGAATGTGGAAATAAGAATTGTGGAACTAAGGAGTGAGATGTATAATGGATGTTGGGAAATGGGAAGAAAGTGTTCAAATGGGAAGGGGAGCAAAGGAGGAGAGAGAAAGGAAGGGACAAGAAAATAGGTGAAAATAGAAAAAAATGGAAACAAAGTTTTGTACATAGGGAAGGGAGGGGACTTAAGGGGGGGAATGAAATAAAATAAAATTTATTTTTTAAAAAACCACATCTCCTTTATCCATTCATCAATTGATGGGCATTTGGGCTACTTCCAAGATTTAGCTATTACAAACTGTATTGCCATAAGTGTGGGTGTGCATGTATCGCTGTGGTGTGATACTTTTAATTCTTTCAGGAAGATACCAAGAAGAGGAATAGCTGGGTCAAATGGAACCTCTAGTTTTAGTTTTTTGAGGAATCTCCACACTAATTTCCACAGTGGGTGCACCAGTCTACACTCCCACCAACAGTGGAGAAGGGTTCCTTTTTCCCTACAGTCCCTCCAGCATTTGTTATTGGTTGATTTCTTGATAGCAGCCATTCTTTCTGGAGATGGAATCTCAGTGTTGTTTTAATTTGCATTTCATGAATGACCAATGATGTTGAACATTTTTTTCATATATATATTTGCTGTTTCTACTTCTTCATACCTGAGAAGTGTCTTTTCATTTCAGATGCCCACTTTTGGATTGAGTGTTTAAATTTGGGGATGTGTGATTTTTTTTTTGAGTCCTTTATATATTCTAGGTAGTAGTTCTTTGTCTGATGAACAGCTGGTAAAAAAATATTTCCCATGGTGTCAGTTGTCTCTACTCTGTTGGTGGTTTCTCTTACTGTCCAAAAGCTTTTTAATAAGATGAGGTCCTGGTTGTTGATTCTTTGTAGTACTTCCCATGCAGTCTGGGTATTGTTCATGAAGTCTTTGCCTGCTCCTATATCCTCAAGTATTTTACCTATTTTCTCTCCCAGCAGATTTAGTGTTTCTGTTTTAATACTTAGATCTTTGATCCATTTCAATTTTAGATTAGTACATGGTGAGAGATATGGGTCTAGTTTCAGTCTTTGGCATGTGGAAAGTCAGTTTTCCCAGCACCATTTATTAAAGGGGCTATCTTTCTTCCAGTAAAGGTGTTTGGCTCCTTCATCAAAGATTAGGTGGCTGAGTATGTCCAGAGTTGTTTCTGCATCTTCTAGTCTGTTCCCCTGATCCTCAGGTCTCTTCTTGTGGGAATGCCTCTAACATATCCCCATTAATGCTCTAGAAATCTAATAATGACCTCTGTCAAGTAAATGAAGTTCCCCAAATGCAAAAGTCTTGATTCCACCATACAGTATGTTACCTTTCTCTCTAGCTTTGGATATCTTCACACTTTGACAGGGATGTCTGCTACATTTTCATCCAAAAGCTACTACACAGAGTAGGGTCTAATGCAGAACTCTAATGCAAGTATATTATGCAGGCTTCTATGGAGAACCCTGTGACCTGACACCAGTGGACTAAAGAACCAATCAAACTGGAGCAATCTTTTAATCTATATGGGTCATAATTCACTTTTAATACCTACAAATTCCAGACATCAGAATAGGCAACCAACAGGTAAACATTTTAGAAATATAGAATACAGTGGAACTCTGCTGGTAGTTCTCTAAAGCCATCATGTTCCACAGGCTACCGTATTTCACATCTGTGTACCAATGTAATAAAAATACTGTGTGATATCCAATGATCCTAATATGTTTACTTTATATAATTAAAGTTGAAATTAAAGTTGAAATTTAAAAGTTGAAATTTTAAACATGTTCCCAAACACTACCAACAAATAAAGAATACTTGTTTGTGCTTTACAGGTTCTGGTGAAAAAAAAGAGCCCTGAATTGTACAGTAGATAGGTACCCAACTGTGGGGGGAAAGTAAACAAAAAAAAAATTTAACTTCCCACTTTTAAGATCCACAAAAGCTACATTATGCATCAATAATTAAAAGCCACCTTTTAAATCAATTTTTGTCTCTATTGTTAAAAATTATAAAATGAGCGCCGGGAATTTAGCTCCGTGGTTCCAGCGTCTGCCTCACAAGCACAAGGTTCCGAGTTCGATCCCCTGTACCAAAAAAAAAATTATAAAATGAAACTTTAGCTAATAAAGCAGTTTGAGTTGTGAGTCCAGATGAACAAACCTTTAGAGCCAACTTATATGTGGCTGAGCTCCAGATATCTCTTTCTTCCATTAACTGTTTACTATCAGTGCCAATCCTTCCTCTTTGTAATGTATATAAGTCATGGTACTCTTCTACAATCCTAAAAGCAAAATAATTAAGAAACAGCTATACAAACAAAGTTTTTAAAACTCTGCTACAAAACAGGCAATTTATTCCATTAAATTGTGGTATAACTGCTGGATATATTTAAAAAATATATAGTAAAATAGAAGAAAAAATATTCAAATTTCAATTCCAAATCTTATAGTCATATGAAAGTAAAAAATCCAGTGTAATATTCCCTGCTCTAAATACTTTTCATCCTTCTCCTTTATTGAGTAGAATTTTTCACTATATCTAATAAAAATTTAGGAATACAAGAAACAATAACATAGCTGGTTTTTATTAAGCTTCTTTGCTCATAGACTTAGGATTCTTTATTAAAGGTATCGAGCCCAATAACTATGAACCATCAATTTTTAAAATTATACATAACTGGTACAAGATTTAAAAGAAAAATCTCTCCTAGCTATCCAAAGACTTAATTATAATTGAGTGCTCTTTCTTTTACTTCTTCTTAAAATATTACTTCTTCATGTCTCCCAGGGCATATCTTTCCCTCCTAATTTACACTAAAACTTCTCTTAGAACTAAGCCCTTCTGAGATTAAATTCAAATAAAGAATTTTTAAAGTGACAAGTAGTAGTTCACAAATCTTTTGGAACTCTTCCTCCTAAGACATGTTCATTTTGCTATAAGATTTAAGGGCCAGCGACACAGAATTCTATTCTTAGTGCAAATCAAGAGCCACCATATCAGTTCTTACATCTTCCTCCATCTGTAAGCTTCTATTTGTTCAAAGTAACTGAGAAGAAATCTTTAAGATTTGTGTACTTTACTGTCTGAAAATTAGACATCAATTTTTTAAGGAATTAATTATCCTTATTTATAACAGAAAAAGCAAAAAATTCAGAAACAACCTCAATGTCCAACAAAAGGGAAAGATTGGTCAGATAAAATATGATCAAATATGATGAAAACACTGCAGCTAAAAAGATAGGGTTCTTAATACTTTGGTACATGGGAAAATTTCACATTATAATATAAAATGAACAAAATCCAAGTGATAAAATGATATATTTAACTTGATTTCATTCTATTAAAAATACATAGGAAAAAGAAGGAAATAGTATACCAAAATAATACTTGCAAAAATAATAATAGCAGTGAGAACACAATTGGAGCCCAGCCCAACCAACTTAGAAACTCGGTGAAGTCCTACCTCAAATGAAAAATAAAAGAAAGTCTGGGGTCTTAGTTCAGTGTCAAGGCACTAGGGTCAATCCCCCATACTACCCCCACCCCC